CATAAAACAAGTTAAGCATTAAAAGCTTGTTTAAAAAGATATGTTTTCAGAGCTGACTTAAACGGAACCAGTTCAGTTATAGAGCGTAAATCCAAGGGCAGAGCATTCCACAATACTGGGCCGTGCACGGCAAAGGCCCGAAACTCCCCATTTCTTATAACGAGAAGAAAGGACAACAAGGGCGAGGTGGCCTGACGACCACAGGGATCTCCGAGGAAAATGTCTGGATAGAAGGTCTGATAAATATGCAGGGCCAAGGCCGTGCAAGGCTTTAAAAACTTCGAGCACAAACTTAAATTGTACTCTCCATTTCACAGGTAGCCAATGGAGGGATGCTAAGATTGGGGTAATATGAGCATGTTGGCAAGTGTCTGTAAGCAGACGGGCAGCTGCATTTTGCACTAAATGCAGCCTAGACAACGATGACTGGGACAGACCGGCACAGAGGGCATTACCATAATCAAGCCGAGACGTCACGAAGGCGTGAAGGGCTTTCTCTAAGTCGGTGTGAGAGAGAAATGATTTTACCTTCGCTAACAACCTCAACTGGTAAAAGCTTGTTTTTACCACAGACTTAAACTGGCTATCAAAGCTAAAATTTGTGTCAAATATAACTCCCAAATTCCTCACCGTATTAGAGCATGGGGGGGCACAGGTGCCTAGGTTTGACATGGTCACCGCTGGGTGGGGACTAATAACAATATATTCGGTTTTGTCTTCATTTAAGTAAAGGAGATTTTGAGCCAGCCAGATTTTAACATCACATATACAATTCTGTAATGCAGCAAGCAAGCTTGATTCAGGGGGTACCAAAGGCATATAAATTTGGATGTCGTCAGCGTAAAAATGAAAAGAAACATTATGACTGGATATAATAGACGCAAGAGGTGACATGTATAACGAGAATAACAAAGGAGCAAGAATGGAACCTGGCGGAACGCCTGAGATCAAAGGAGCAGTGCTGGAGGACTGGTCGCCAATCATGACCGAATAAGTTTTATTTGTAAGGTATGACTCAAACCAGTTTAAGACCTTGCCTCCCAGGCCAAAGAGGTGCTTTAACTTCAAAAGTAAAATAAAGTGGTTTACCGTGTCAAAGGCGGCTGACAGGTCGAGCAGAGCTAGAACGACAGGGCGTCCCGCATCCAAAGCCAGTGCGATACCATTATGCACTTTGATTAACGCGGACTCAGTGCTATGTTTAGGGCTGAAACTGGATTGAAATTTGTCGACCATTCTTAGCCGATCTAAGTGAGCTTGAAGCTGGGAAGAAGACCGGATCCCCTCAGACAGGCACAGCCCCGGGGGGAACCTGGGGCCGCAAGGCGCATTTGAAGTGTCAGTGATCAATGTGTCCTGCAATTCACATTACTTTGCACAGCTAGCTGTGTTCTTCATCGACGCACGAGCCAAGTGATCCACCACTAAGAGTTGTCACATAGTTTCGAGTGGGAGGCCACGGTTCAAAGACAGGGAGGGAAAGGCCACCGACACAACTCCCAGGCACTCCGTCCGGCTAAGCCCACACGGGAGTTACTGGCAGGCCGGCTGGTAATGATCCTTCTGCAGTTTCACCTACGGAAACCTTGTTATGACTTTTACTTCCTCTAGATAGTCAAGTTTGATAGTCTTCTCGGTGCTCTGCCAGGGCTGTGACCGACCCCAGTGGGGCCAGTCCGAGGACCTCACTAAACCATCCAATCGGTAGTAGGGACGGGCGGTGTGTACAAAGGGCAGGGACTTAATCAACGCAAGCTTATGACCCGCACTTACTGGGAATTCCTTGTTCATGGGAAATAATTCCAATCCCCAATACCTATCATGAGCGGGGTTCAGCGGATTACCCACACCTCTCGGTGAAGGGTAGACACATGCTGATCCACTCAGTGTGGCGCGCGTGCAGCCCCGGGCATCACAGGCCTGTTATTGCTCAATCTCGTGTGGCTGACCGCCACTTGTCCCTCTAAGAAGTTGGACACCGACTGCACGGGGCTGCATAACTAGTTAGCATGCTGGAGTCTCATTTGTTATCAGAATTAACCAGACAAATTGCTCCACCAACTAAAAACGGCCATGCACCACCACCCACAGAATCGAGAAAGAGCTATCAATCTGTCAACCCTTTCCGTGTCCGGGCCGGGTGAGGTTTCTCGTGTTGAGTCAAATTAAGCTGCAGGCTCCGCTCCTGGTGGTGCCCTTCTGTCAATTCCTTTAATTTCAGGTTTGGAACCATACTTCCCCCGAAACCCAAAGACTTTGGTTTCCCGGACGCTGCCTGGTGGATCATGTGAATAATGCTGCCAAATTGCTATTTGGCATCGTTTATGGTCGGAACTATGACGGTATCTGTTCGTCTCTGAACCTCCGACTTTCATTCTTGATTAATGAAAACATTCTTTGCAAATGCTTTCGCTTTCGTCCGTCTGGCGCAGGTGCAAGAATTTCACGGGCTGGGACAGACGGTAGCTCGCCTCATGATGGACCATCAGCTTGATCCTGAGATCCAACTACAAGATTTTTAACTGCAGCAACTTTAAGATACGCTATTGGAGCTGGAATTACCACGGCTGCTGGCACCAGACTTGCCCTCCAATTGATCCTCGCTAAAGGATTTAAAGTGTACTCATTACAATTACAGGGCCTCGAAAGAGTCCTGTATTGTTATTTTTTGTGACTACATCCTCGAGTCAGGAGTGGGTAATTTGCACGCCTGCAGCCTTCCTTGGATGTGGTAGCCATTTCCCCGTTACCCGTGGTCACCATGGTAGGCACAGAAAGTACCATCGGTCCCGCCTGGGTTTTGGGTCTGATAAATGAACGCATCCCCAGAGGTCAGCACTCGTTCTTATGTATTAGCTCTAGAATTGCCACAGTATCCAAGTACTTAGACTTGCATGGCTTAATCTTTGAGACAAGCATATGCTACTGGCAGGATCAACCAGGTAGCCCCCTCAGGCACCCGGCTGGCCCACCCGCTGGGGTTTGCATGAGTGGGAGCGCACCCATGAGGCTTTTGCATCTGGAGAGCTCGGTTGGTGAAGCCCTGGGTCGGCAGATTGAGAAATGTAATGCTCGCTGGAGGCTCGCCGCTTGGGGGTGGCTGTGCTGCAGGAGCTGGGACCCCACAGCCAGCTCCGTTGCAGGACCTCTGGGGCAGACAGGGTTTCTTGGTCCCGCTACCAGTCGGGTGGCCCGGGAGGAACTCGGAGGAAGGGGCCCGAGGGCACCACCTCTGCGCACGCTCTCCCAGCCACGGAGGCAAATCTGCTGGCCAGAGAAGCCGTCCGCCCGAATGCTGGTGCTTGGCCGGCTAGCGAGGGCCCTCCGATGGTGGCTCACAGGTGCCAGTCAGTCAGTCACACGCTGCCATGTGCGAGGGAGGAAAACCTTCAAAGTGTGAAAAATCACCATTAGGAGGCAGGAAACCAGATAACAATGGCTGATTGGAGACCCCCTCTGAGCGGGCAACATGTCTGGGGTGAGTCGAGGTCTCAGTTCTGGGGGACTACATTTCCAAAAACTGGGTTTCTGAAATCGTGCAGAGTGTTGCTGGGAGAAACCTCATTTACCGAGGAAGGGGAGGACCCCATTAACCCAGAAGGTTGGCTGCTGCGCACCTTCCTCAGTAAAATAACTTGGTCCTGGTACTCCGCTCTTTTGATATTTTGACAGCTTTCTGGCTCTTGTGGTCCTGGTACTCTACTCCTTTAACATTTTGACAGCTTTCTGGCTCCCGTGGTCCTGGTACTCTGGTGTTTTAACACTTTTGACAGCTTTCTGGCTCTCATGGTCCTGGTACTCCACTGTGCTGGGACTTAGACTTCTGGCTCTCGTGTTCCTGGTACTCTGCTACTTTAACATTTTGAGAGCTTTCTGGCGCCTGTGGTCCTGGTACTCTGCCCCTTTAACATTTTGACAGCTTTCTGGCTCCCGTGGTCCTGGTAATCTGCTGTTTTAATACAGTACTGAGAGGGAATGCCGGTGTGCAGAGTAGTGGTGCAGACACCTCTGGTCCAAAAAGCCACACAAAGGTTAATCTCTTGTAAATATGTAAATACTGTAAATATGAAATGAAGTCATGTTGTTTTCCACTGTGTAATGTGTCAACTATCACATACATATAGGTTACCTTCTAGTTCTTCCTTCTCAAAGTTGGTGTTGAGCATGGAGCGTGTGCCCCCACGGTCCACCACTGCCTCCTCATCAGCTCTCTATAGGAGACACACACAAATGAGGCTGTTACTCAGCACACATGTGCAGATTACAGTATGAACATATACAGCAACACCCACATTTTTAATATTCACATGTAAATTCACAAAGATACACATATCCACTGGTTAACATATATACATGAGTCACATAAGTCACAACTTAATCAGTGTTAATAGGTAATGTGAGGACTAGACAAGTGTAATGGCACAGGTCTGCCCCCGCTAAAGCAAAATTCATTTTTATGTACATGCTACAAGTTGTTACATAAGAGTACAGTGCCCTCTGCCTAGTGGGAGGATGTGTCCTGAAATAAGTACATGCACATACACAGAGAAACTCAGCATTATGAGGTTAACTTTCACTGACTGTCACCATGGCAACAAAAGGCAGACAATGGCAACTTTGAAAAAGCCATGCTCACTGCTGAGTGCCAGATTAGGCCATCGCCGGAGCATTAACAGAACTTATACCTATATACTTAAGTTACCTACACCTATAGTCGTGGTATGTGTCGCACGTCATCTTGATTTCCACGCTGACAGTTCCTGTGCTGTGGATCTTTTTGTATGTTTTTTCCATGAGGTTAGCCAGACAATATTTTGATATCCATGCTGATAGTTCCTGTGCTGTGGATTTCCTTTTCGTTCACCAGTCCTCCTGGTTAGTTTGTCTATTCACCTGTCTGTCCTGCTCCTCCTACTTTCCTGGTTCCAGCCATTAGCCTGTCTGCTCACCTGTTCATCTTATTCTCCACAACCATCTCCGTCATACCTGGATTATATATGTACATGGACTTTGTTATGTTGTTACTTTGTGTATTTTTCCATTAAACCCCCTTGTTTTACTAGCACCTGGGTCTGCAATCTTGAGTCCTACCACAGTTCTCCCTCACCCTCCTGGTGAGTGGGACAAATCATAACACGAAGCATGAATGTCCTGTGAGAGCTGAACATACCTGAAAGCATGCTTAAGTAGAATTTCCCCATTCATTTGAAAGCGGCAAAATTTTCATAATAAAGCAAAATATTTCAAAAGTATGAAGTTTAAAAAAACTTCTGAATAGAAGCATGAATGTCCTTGAAGAGCTGAACATTTTGCTACCTAAAATAGCTCATAAGGTATGCTGAAGTAGAATTTCCCCATTCATATGAGAGGGGCCAAACTTTCAAAATAAAGCAAAATATTTTAAAAGGATGAAGTTCAGAAAAATTCTGAATACGAGCATGAATGTCCTGGAGGAGCTGATCATTTTGATACCTGAAATTATGCTGAAGTGGAATTTCTCTATTCATGTCAATGGGGCATGATTTTCAAAATAAAGCTAAATATTTCAAAGGTATAAGGTTTAGAAAAATCCTTAAGACAAGAATGGATGTCCTTGAAGAGCTGAACATTTTGATACCTGAAATAGCTGAAAGTATGCTGAAGTTGAAATTTCTCATTCATTTGAATGGGGCAAGATTTTCAGAACAAAGCTAAATATTATAAATGTATGAAGTTTAGAAAAACTGAATAGAAGCATGAATGTCCTTGAGGAGCTGAACATTTTCATACCTGAAAGTATGCTGAAGTAGAATTTTCCACATTCATTTGAATGGGGCAAGATTTTCAAAATAAAGTTAAATTTTTCAAAAGTATGAAATTCAGAAATGTTCTGAATAGAAGCATGAATGTCCGGGAGGAGCTGAACATTTTCATACCTGAAAGTATGCTGAAGGAGAATTTCCCCATTCATTTGAATGGGGCAAGATTTTCAAAATAAAGCTAAATATTTTAAAAGTAGTAGTAGAGGTAGCTGAACGTCTCACAAGTTGAACAGAGTTGAAATGGCATTTCTAGCCCAAGGTATGCCAGAGATATTAAGATTCAAAGTTTGTCCCATTCATTTTCAATGGGGAAATTTTTGTGCAAAAAGCTGAATTTATAAAAAAAATATAAATGTGACAAAAAATCTGTGGACAAGGACACATGTTCATGAAAAGTTGAACATTTTGAAACCTTAATGGTTGTTCTAGCTGTAAGTATGCTGGAGTTATTACGTGCTGAAAAAGAGTGGCCGAAACCAGAATAATAACTAGAAAAATGCATTTCCTGTCGAAAATGCGTGTGGATGCTGTAATGCTGAAGTATCGCCCTGAAAAGGCTGAAATACCTGCTATCAATTGCTGAAACAGCTCAAGGATGAGAAGAAATGGCTGAAGCTGTTTGTTGAAATAATTGAAGGCTGTGAAAAAATGGCAGAAGTAGTTTGAAACAGCTGAAACATGAGATGCTGAACAATTGTGGAATAACTATGAAAGATGAAAGCAAAATGGTGAATAATTACTGTATATAAGATGAAATCAAAAGCTGAAATTGTGTGTCAACAGGCCTCACAATGTAAGGAAAGCACAAAGGCAGAGGACATTTTCAACACTATTGATTTGTTTTTGGACTCTGTGGGACTGCGTTGGTACAATTGTGTTGGGGTAACAACTGATGGCGCAGCTTCCATGACTGGAAAAAACTCAGGAGTTGTGAAGAAAATCCTGGAGAGAGCGCTGAATGTGATGTGGACTCACTGCTTTCTTCACCGAGAAGCACTTGTGGCTAAGGATATGGTGCCAGTGCTTGATACAGCACTGAAAGATGCCATAAAAATAGTGAACTACATTAAAGTGCCAAGAACAGCTGCTGTTTCACACAGCTGTGCAAAGACCTGGGATGAGAGCACATCAAGTTGTATCATTCAGAAGTTCACTGGTTTTCAAGGGGAAAGGTAATGTCACGCTTTTATGAGCTTAAACATGAAATTGCCACCTTCCTCTCATACAATAACTCCCTGTGCACTGAGATGCTCAGCGATGAACTCTGTCTTACGCGCTTCGCCGATGTGTTCGATCACCTCAACACGTTAAACATGTCTATGCAGGGGAGAGGACACATCTTTGAACAGACCGACAAACTCACTGCCTTCAAAAAGAAGTTGAGGTTGTGGAAAAATCACTGACTAAAACAGACTTGACATGTTTCCCAACACTTGCCACGCAGCAGGAGAGCTAAATACAGCGGCCAAAAATGCCCTGAAAATAACTATCACTGC